CGCTCGGGGCAGGCTTGGGGCACGCCTCGGCTCGGTTCATTGATTTTCGCTCAGCTCGGTGAGCTCTTTTTTTGGGTGTCCATTTTGGGGGGGGGGTGAAAGTAGGTGCGGCCCCCCTCCCATTTTTGGAAAGATACAGTTCTGAACCCTAACCCTTGACCATAGGTGTCCTTGGTAGCTTAGCTTAGTTAAAACATAGATGGCGCTGGTTTCAGTTTGGTCCTTATCATGGAGCAGTGCCATCTATTTCCCAGAAGGCCAAACAGGATCCCTTGTCTAAACATTGGCAACCAGGACGGGAAACTGGGAAACCGACCTTTAACATTAAAATCCGCCATGTTCAATAAACGCAAGATCCGGCACCCTCAGCCTTTTCAACCTCATGTAGCTGCCCAAACGCGAGGTCTGGGGTCAGCATGTTTAAGCCATACATGGCAACGTTTGATGAATCGGAAATATGAAACAACTATTGAAGTAATCGGCAAATCATTTGGTTTAAACTTGGGTATTGCTGGGTTGATTTAGCATGGTTTTAGCAACCTCCTTTTGGTTTCCCTTCGGGGGGTAGCTTCCCTTCCTTCAATGCGTACCCAGTGTAAAATCACTTTGCACTTGATGCGTATGGTGCTTTTTCCCCTTTGTTCAAGATACCAAGAGAAATAGCCAGAAATCGATACCAGTGGGTTCCTCAACTAGGCAGACTCCTCCGACTGGCGGGTCTACATGCGCCATGGTCAAAAGGCCCGTTAACTTGGGCTTAGGAGGGATGGCTTAGTTGGAGTTTAGTTCGCCATTGTAAAGGCTCCTTGTTGATCCACATAGGGCTGCACCTACTCAGTTAAGACGTGCTTTTACTCGTTGGAACTTCATTCGCTCTTCTTGGAAACGGCGGTATGATCAGCTTGGGAACCAACATGCCTGGACCACTGCTTGGGAGGCTGTGCCGACATGCCTTGCGCGCGTATTCTTGCGGTAAGCGCTTGCAATTGGTGCCCCAGCGATCCTTCGCTCTCTGAATGATACATGGACTAAGACTTCCTTTTTGCCTTGATTTGGGATGACTAGCTTCCTTCTTGATTTTGTCTCACTTCTGTGCCAAAGTGCGCATCGCTCGAACAGACTCTCAGGAGACCGAAGACCGTGACCCACATAAGGAGTTTTGATCATGGCCCACGTGTGTTTCCCTATCCAAAATCAGCTGGGGTCCCCAATCTCAGGAGGTATTCATCGGGGGAACTGCAGGCTTCAATGAGGAGCTTGTCTCCTGAATTGAGGTTTATCACCTTTTCACCACTGCCCTCGCTCCTTTTTGGTTGAACATGGGAGCCCCCAAAGAGTACAAACAGAGTTGTTCTAGGCGGCTTCAAGAGCGTTGGTTACCTTTGGTTTTCCCGTTGAACACCAACCCAGGAGTCCCAGAAAGTGGTCGTGCCTCACGTGCCATATTGATGGATTGTGAAACTGGTGTTGTGTGTGCGTGTGTCATTTAATTTGCGTTTTGCGTGTCAAACTGTGTAATTGGTATCATGCCTGCCGTGCCTATCATACAGGCGCCATATGTGTTACGCATGGACTCATGTGTTTTATAATTTACATTTGTCATATGGTCAACCACCGTTGTTGGCTGCCCCCAATGGGTTCATGCCGCTTCTCTTTGAAGATCGATGATTGACCCACAGCCATGGCCCAAAACGAGGAGCCTCCTTGTAAAGACCCCCCCCCAAGAAACGCCTTGGAAAGCCAACGGTTTCTTTTGGCCCTAAGCGGGAGCGGGTCTGGCTTTTTGCTTGGCTCAGGAAAGGCGGAAGAAGCCGCCCGCGCTGAGGAGGACGCCTCTCTCGGAGGGTCTGCGAAGGCGTCACGCTGTCAACAGATGGGTATGGGTCAAAATTAAAGCGCCAGGGGACCGCAGGTTTTAGTCCTTGGTTACCTGTACTAGGGTTCCAAAGTGGATACACATTTTTGACCCACAGCCAGACCAAAGCCTCCTTCAATAGGGCCTTATGTTGGGAAACGGTGGGAATCGAAGAATCCTTGAAGGGATGCTCTTGAATGGTTAGTGTCATGTGTGTGTGTGTGTCAATCTGAAAAGGACACCAATGGAAAGCCACCATTTGGCGGGGGGTCCTCAATTTTAGACACCCGTGTTGGTTCCTTTTTTGAAATTGGCCCAAACAAATTTTCGCCGGCGCATGGACCACAATGTCCTTCTGGTGTGTTTCAGGAGGAATTCAGATGTTTTGGGTTGCCGGACATCCCACCGGATTACTCTCTGTGGATTCCCCACAAAGGTGGATTTGTGTGAAATGGGGAGCCCTCCTTTTGGCTTTCCTTCTCAACCAAACAACGAGAAGCCTCAGAGGTCGCACACCCATGTCCCTTCTGTACATTTCTTTAGCGATGTTTCTTCCTTTGCCCCTTGAAAGCCCTGGAAAGTGGATGACAAAGGGAAAGTGAAACCTATGTCAACAGAAGGAGAATCTTCCGGATGCAGGAATGAATGATTGGACTTGATGGCATGAAATGAAATGAAGCGAGTGAAATTAGTGGAATTCATGAAATGAATGATATGAATACATTCATGCGCATGAATGCATGTATGCATGAATGAATGATTGAAGGATGGAAGGAAGGAAGGAAGGAAGGAAGGAAGGAAGGAAGGAGGAAGGAAGGAAGGAAGGAAGGAAGGAAGGAAGGAAGGAAGGGAGGGAGGGAGGGAGGGAGGGAGGAAGGACTGCTGCATGCATGACTGCATGCATGCAACTCCGGCAATGAATTGAATGACAGAAAGCCGAGAATGAATGAATTATGAATTGGCTGACGGAAAGAAAGATGAATCATGATGAATCTGCACTGATGACTGAATGATGAATGAATGAATGAATGAATGACTGAAATGAATGAAATGAATGAATGATGGCATGAATGAAATGACATGAAATGAAATGAATGGACATGAAAAACATGACTGAAATGAAATGAATGAAATGAACTGAATATGAAATGAAATGAAAATGGAAAATGAAATGACATGAAATTGACATGACATGGAATGAATGAATGAATGAATGAATAAATGAATGAATGAATGAATGACTGAATGAATGAATGAATGAATGAATGCATGAATGCATGAATGCATGAATGCATGAATGCATGAATGCATGAATGCATGAATGAATGAATGAATGAATGAATGAAATGACATGAAATGAATGTGAATGAATGAATGAATGAATGAATGAATGAATGAATGAATGAATGAATGAATGAATGAATGAATGAATGAATGAATGAATGAATGAATGAATGAATGAATGAATAAATGAATGAATGAATGAATGAATGAATGGATGGATGGATGGATGGATGAATGAATGAATGCATGAATGGAAAAGGAATCAAGAATGAATACAATGAATGAATGAATGAAATGAATGAAACCTGAAATGACTGAACTGAACTGAAATGAAATGAAATGAACTGAATGTCATGAAATACCACATGAAATGGAAACTGAAAAGAAGTGGAATTGAAATGAACTGACATGGACTTGACATGAATGAAAATGAATGCATGGAAATGGATTGAATGGATGAATGAATGAAATGAATGAATGAGATGGAACGAATTAATGAATCACTAGATAGTTAATTACATGAGTTGCACTAGAATATCACACAGACAACAATTATTCCTCTTTTTGCATATTTCCTGTCCATTGGCTCATCATCACACCACCACCTACCAACCTACTCACACGGAACTCCAAAACCCCACATCTTTCGAGGAATCTCTCTCCCATACACCACATTCATCATAATCTACCTCATCCCCTCATCATCATCATCATCATCATCCCTTCATCATCATCATCATCATCATCATCATCATCATCATCATCATCCCTTCATCATCATCATCATCATCATCATCATCATCATCATCATCATCCCTTCATCATCATCATCATCATCATCATCATCATCATCATCATCATCCCTTCATCATCATCATCATCATCATCATCATCATCATCATCATCATCCCTTCATCATCATCATCATCATCATCATCATCATCATCATCATCATCCCTTCATCATCATCATCATCATCATCATCATCATCATCATCATCATCATCCCTTCATCATCATCATCATCATCATCATCAGCATCATCATCATCCCTTCATCATCATCATCCCTTCATCATCATCATCATCATCATCATCCCTTCATCATCATCATCATCATCATCATCATCATCATCATCCCTTTATCATCATCATCATCATCATCATCATCATCATCATCATCATCCCTTTATCATCATCATCATCATCAGCATCATCATCATCCCTTCATCATCATCATCATCATCAACATCAACCTTGTGATGATCGTACTGTTGATTCTCTGGGTCCACGGCACGGCCGCGACCTTTCTTTGGGCCGAGGAGCTGCGGCGCAAGCGCCGGGAGCAGAAGGACCTGCTGCGGGATGCCCAGCTGCGGGAGGAGCGGAAGCGGCGCCAGGAGGCGGGGCTGGGGCTAAAGGCTTGGCATCCCGTAGCCTTGCTGGTGCGATAGGCACGGAATGTGGGAATGAACCCAGGATTCGGTCAACTTAAAAAACCGCCAGTTGGATGGTTTATGCGAGTCATTCCCTCATTCCCTGCTGAGCACCAGCAGGTAGCTCGGCCTCTCCGAGCTTTGGTTCCTCTCCTCTGCAGAGCGCTGGGAGATGGCTTCCCTTTTCTTTCTTTATTTCTCCCGAGAAGCCACCAAAGAGAGAAGGTTCTATTGTGTGAAGCGTGCGCATACAAGAATATATGTATATATGGTTCCGGTCGGCGAGCGGCCATTTTCTCGGGGGGGGGGGGGGGGTGGGCCGCTCGCCCGGGGTCCGACTCTCGAAGCCTTGGCCCTAAGCTGACCTACCAGCGGGATACAGGGGGGGGGGGGGAGAGGCCTTTTGCAAGATGACCACAACCTGGGAAACCAGCGGGCCCACTGGGGGAGGAGGGGGGGCGACCTGGGTACGACTCTTGAAGCCTTGGCCCTAAGCTGACCCACCAGCAAGCCCACAGGGAAGGGAGAGGTGCAAGATGACCGTAACCTGCAAAACCAGCGGGCCCACAGGAGGGGTGGGGCCCTATTTAAGGCTACCGGGGGGGGGGCAGACCTCTAATATATACATATATCTATTTATACACGGATTCTGGTGAATGCTGCGTGCTCACGAGTATGTGCAGTTGGATGCAAGTTGTGTAAACCGCGGTTCAACCCACTGGGCCCCAATTGTGAGCTAGAACAAGATCTTTGAACCTGCTCTCCCCTTTGCCGCGCCGATTTGTCGAGGCCCCATGGAGTCTTGCACGCAACCTCTCAGACACGACCTGCCAACTTCCGGGCTTTCTGGTCATTCTGGTCATTCTGGTCAATGTGCAGTCATGTCTGCGCAGTTATGACCGTTGTTGTTTGCCAAGATCCTGCTTTCCTTCTAAAGGAAACCCAAACATGCTCTTCACAGTTGAAACCAGAGGTTAGCCACAACCTTCGAGATCCATTTCCAGGTCCCCTGAATAAGTCCAAAGTGTGCTTACGGCTAAGTTGTACACCCGAAGACCACATCTTACATGTTAAAACCCTCCTGGCCCCGTGCCTAAATTGGGAAGCAGTTCTGAGGTCCGTGTTTGTGTTGCTTACAAGGTTCCATTGATTGCCATTTGGCTCAAGTCACAAGTGAGGTTCAAGATCTTATGTGAAGCTGCGTTCATACGTGATCGGCAATTGAGAGCGGAAAACACTTCGCTTGCGCTGCATTTGTCAGGACCACTGTTGTAACTATTATTCCTTCTCCCTTACAACATTTACACGGGTTCGGCTATAACGGTTTGACCGTATACACCTTTCTACGTGGTTGGTATTACAGCTGGAGGGTTCGGTGGACAGCGTCCCACGGGACGTCACCTTGCCGTCTCTTGACAGGTTATCAGCCGTAACGACAAGCTCTACACTGGACAGAGAGACAGCTGGTTTATTGCGGGTACAGGGACAATAAAGGAACAATAACCTACACGGTACAATGGCATCTTCAGCGAGCCCAAGTACTGCAACTTTTGGGAACAGCAGCTCAGAGGGATCCAATGGATTGATGGCTCTTCCTGCGGTGATGGATATGATCGCAGATTCACAGGATGAACCTGGGAGCGGAGGATCCGCGCTATTCAGCGACATATCCACTCCCACAAGATCATGGAAGCAGATCGATGTTCATCAGGAGTCGAAGCAAAGAGAATCCCCGCCGAGAAGATCATCATCTTCGCCTGCGACACCACGGACGTCGCAGAAGGGCGTGAGGTCAACATCAAAAGGTGGGAGGTCAAAATCACCCACCAGTGCAGAGTTTCGCGCCGCGATTAAAGAAAAGAACAAGATGGAGATGGAGATCGGGGAATATCAAAAGACACTTGATGAAATGTCGGCAGCGATGGCGAATCTTCATCAAGAAGACTATGGGAGCACCATCCGGATCCAGGAGCTGGAGAGACGATGCGAGATTGCCAGCAAGCAGTCGGGACATCTTGTGAGTCACCACCAACACCACATGGCTGAGGCATGGCGCAAGTTTGAGGAGGAAGCCCAACAGATGCGCAAGGTGGAAATGAACGCATATCAGTACGGGGAAAAGAAAGACATGGAGTCGAATGTTATAATACAACAGATGAGACAAGCTGAAGGAACTATTATGGAGCAGAAGCGGGAGATTGCAGTGATGAAATCCTACATGGCAAGCGAGAAGTCAGCCGCGCAGGAATCAGCTATACGTGCAAATCAGATACACCGTGAGGCTTCACAACAAATATCAGTTTATCAGCAACAGATCAGAGGTATTGAATCGTCTACATCTATCGAGAAGTTCAACGAGGAGGAGATGGTCCAAAGTCTAAAATCACAGTTGGAGCATGCACTCGTCAAACGCCCCGAGACGTACTCTATGGAGGACTCCAGGGAGCAGCTGATGGCGAGACTGAACGACGTTACAACATTCGCGGAGCAAGAATCGAAGAGAGCAGAGTGCTTACTTCGCGAGAAGGAAGAGATCGTCAAACAGTACGAATCCGACGTGTTGAAGAAGGACCAGATGATTGCTATCGAGGGTGGTCATCGTCAAGATGCGATCTTGGAGTTAGCCCAGGTCAGAGAAGCAAAACAAGAAGAGCGGTGCACGATGGACGAGAAGTCGAAGGAGGCCGAGTACTGGAGATTGACAGCTAAAGGAGTGTATGATGAGTACCTCGAGGAGATGCGTGAACTTCAGGGACAACTGAAGGATCGGGAGGCGACGCTCAAGCAAGAAGAGAGTTTTGTTCGTCAACTCGATGCTGACAATGAGGAACTACGAGCACTCAAGAAGCTGGAGACACAGGAAGCCTCTAGCAGTAAGATGGACATCGTGAACGAGCAGTAGTGAAACGCGCTGAGGGAGGACCCCAAGCTAATTCGACTAGGGTAGACAAGAGGGTGACTGGGTTATTCCCGTCATCATCATCGAATCTGATCCCTAATTCGTCACTAATGCCAGGTTCGATTCTCTTTCCGTCTTTTGGTGATCCAATGATCGATGTACACCTATCCCAGATGCAGGGGGTTGTTGGGCATGTCCCACAACCCGCTACTACAACTGGTGGTAGTGGTGATGGAGGGGGAAACAACGGTACTACACCCCCATTGGATTACGGTGGATTCTCGCCCAATGGAAATAGACAAGGGGCAGGTCGACGTCAGTTGAGCCTCACAGGTGGCGGAGGAGGACCTCCGGATGATCCACCCGGTGATGAGGACGAGGATGACGACGATGAAGAGGACGAAGAGGACGAGGAAGAAGAAGAGGAAGAAGATGACAATCGGACACGGAGGAGGCGCAGAAGATCGAGGGATGATCGAGAAATCAAGAACGAAAGACCGAGGATTTCGAGGAAAGAAGCCGAGAGGGTGTCTATTCCTGCTTGGCCAAAGATCCATCAACTCGATAACTGGAAGATGCAACTGCTGATGAATGTTCTGAGCGCATGCGCAGATCCAGATACTGACGCATGGACGAAATGGTTGGAACAGGCTCTTGGGTTAAACCCAGACCTAAATATGCTGAGCGACTCCGGCGGCGACAGATTCGCTACGATAGATATCAAAATGGCCATGGGCATGCAGAACATGTTGAGACAAGCGCCTGACGAAGCCAAAGACGTGTACCTCGACGCTACGCGACATTCGGAACTACGACATCAACAAGGGGTGATCGTGAAGGGACGAGAGTTGGTGGCATTGGCTATGCAATCATTCAGAACGTCTGATCGAACGGATCTTGTCTACCACATCGAGCACCTATTCAACCTTGACTTTCCTGGAGACAAGAATTTGGTTATATTCAGGAACAAGTGGTATGATTTGTTGCTAAAGATGAGGAGCGAAGACAGACCCAGCAAGTTGGCTCTCAGAGATATTCTCTACAGGAAGATCAAAGGGAGCAAGAAGATGGAGTTCGGCCTCAACGCCTACCATAGATTGCCGGACAAGCATCCTCAAAAGACGTACGAATTCTTGTTGGCATTGATCGACCATCAGAGTAAGGCGGATCGGGAGGACCTGATGCTTGACATGAAGGAGAAATCGGTCAAGTCGATGATGAAGTCGGGCGGCAGAGATGCAGCCCCGGCCACTGGCAAACAGGAGAACCAGGGTGGCAAAGGCAGCAAGGGGAAACCCAGTGGACCTGATGCTGCTCCTGTACTCCCAAAGGCCAAAGCAAAGGGTCACGCTGGCAAGAACGGCAAGTCCGACGGTGCCAGCGACAGAGGCAAGAGTCCGGGCGGAAGTAGAGATAACCCATGTTGGTATTACTTCAAGTCAGCGAAGGGATGCGTAAAGGGGAATGAATGCACATTTTCCCACAGCAAGAAGACGGAGCACAAGCTGGAGAACATGTCCAAAGGGAAAGGAAAAGGTAAGTCCAAATCCAGATCATCATCACCAAAGAGGGATGATGGAGCATGTTTCGCGTTTCAGAAGGGAAAATGCGACAAGGGGAGTGCTTGCAAGTATAGGCACGAGCTCATCAAGAACAATTCAGCTCCGGCAACGTCAAGCGACAAGGCACAAGCCAAGTCGAAGGCTGCCGCCAAGGCCGCAGCGCCAGCTATTGCAAGAAGGGCCATTGCGATGCCTGCGATAGTCTTGAAGCAATCGGCTCCTGCGGGAAAGGTCAGCTTCAAGAAGGACGTTGACCAGGTCGAACCGGATGAAGCCGAGACTGTCTACCACGAGCATGATGACGACGCAATGAGCGAATCATCAAGATGGTCTGGCGAGTCCGAGATCCCCGAGAAAATGGTATGGTTCAAGGAAGTACTCGATGTCGACGAGAATGGGGAGATCACCTATCTCGAAGACGAGAGAAGGCAATGGGAACGAAAAGGGGAGTGGTACGGCTATGAGGACAATGAGAATGAGCCTTATCAGTACGTGCACGTCGACGA